GCTTTTCGGCAAAACCAATTTCAGCATTTATGGAAGTGTTCCTTTTTTACTCACAACTCCCAGCCTTTCTTATTAGTCCCGATATCAAGACTTTGTCCCAATCACTCAATGTGAGAGATTTTGTCCCTATATGAAGAGAAACTATCTAATTTTTTTGTAAAGGCAAAATTGCTTCAAAAGGTCCATTTTTCAGTGAACTTTAATCACTTATACTCAAAATGATTTTTCATCCTTCTACGGTAACCATGGTGCTGTCTCGCGTGGTAAATCTGTCGAGACGTTTTGTTAAAATTAAGGATGTATAGTTGTCGATAAACAATTGAGCAACAAATTCTAATTTTTCATATGCATAGCAATAAATGTATTTTTCGGCTCATGTATTAATGGATTTTATCTAGCTGCAGAGACAATGTTTTCAGCTTTCAATTAATTTTTCAATAACTCATGAAACTGTTTCTATTTCTAAGAAGCGAGAAAAGTGATACAAGGACGGGTCGACTAGCAAAAGAGACTAGCTTCCTTGTCGGCTCAGAGTCAGGGCACAGTTTGGATGCGCAGTGAGGTTCAATAACCGATTTATTCAGTAGAGCTTGAGTAGGGCTAGCTTTTTTTCGAATTTTAATCTATCCATATGATTCAAGGTACACCCTTTTTATAAGAAAATAGTCTATAAGAATATTAAGGCTCTGAATCGCTGAAGTTTAAGAATAGTTAAAGAATAATGCAACGCTCAAGCTTCATCAAGAATCAAATTTTTGGTTTATTTGAGTTTTGTTCAAAACAAGAAAAATGCGAGTTTTAATAATTAAAAAATGTTGTGGCTCAGCAAAAATTAGGTATTCCAGAAAAAGGTGGGAGTGAGAAAAATACTTGGGTACAGACACGTTGATGTGTCAATAGATGTTAAAAATGTTTGGATTGATACAACGATAGCTTGCTGCGAAATATAGTGAGAACCATTAGAAACAGTTACTTCTTATTCCCCTTTTCTTCGTGCCGCCAAAAATCCTTCAATGTTGAATTTATTTCTTGATCGTTCAAAGTTTCAGTATTCTCATTAGGATAACCCTCTAAAATGAGATTTGAAGAAACACATGATAATTCATAAGTATTGTTACTGCAAACATTACCAGATAAAATCCAACCTAATTTACTCTTAAAAGCAACTGGTTCATTAGGATTACCACGAATGACATCTCCCTGAATAAACTGAAAATATGAGTCAAGGCCTATCAACATATCAATACGCTTAGAATGCTTAGTTTCAAAACAGTCAGCCAATTTAAGGCCTTGCAAATGGGGAAAATTCCCTACACTAACGCGCGAGGATACAGGGATGCAAATAACGCTGTGGGTGAGAGCACTGACTGGAATAACCTCGTTATTTTCTACCTCGACATTTAAACTACAGAATTGACTTTGACTTTCGTGTACTTATCTGTTGCCGAACGTATTTGAATTTATCGTTTCAGACGAGTCTGTTGGTAAGTTCAGTTTCTTCCTCAGGTCTTCAGACACGTAATTCTTTTGGTTGCCACTGTCGAATAACATAGTGATTCTTGCCTTCTTTGCACTGTCTTTTCCATAAACAAATGCTGATGCAGTCATCATAAGCCCATTTTTTCTTGATTTTGTGGTTGCGGAAACTGAAGTGGTGGTATCTTGCTCAGATTCAGTCCCCTTGTTTGCGTTTTGTCCCCCGCATGTTGCCCGTTGGCCTTTATTCAAACAGCAAAAACAAACTTCCTCCCTTAAAAAATGATCGTCTTTCTTCCTCTTACGTCTGTTATTTTTGAACAGTTTAATGACAAATGTTCCCCTTTGCAAAATGTGCATACCCGTGGAGAATTCTTCAAACTTCGGTTTGCAGTGTTCGTAATGAATGACTATGTTGTTCCTACTGGCTTGGATTGGGAAACAGATGTATGTTCTTGAGGCCTTCTGTTTGAAATCGCTGCCTTTTCGCTAATTTCTCTTGCAGCGATTTCGTTACCAATAATCTCCAAAATTTCGTCAATCGACCAGATTTCTTGAGTAATTTTTCGTGCGATTTGGGTAGTAATTTCTTTTGGCATCCTGTCCATGATTATTGGAATTAGAAGACTACCATAGCGTTCAGCGGGCATCCCAGATGGCAGGCACATTTGCATTTCGATGGACTGTGCATTCAAAGCTCTGCCAGAATGCGGGGAGGCTCGTTATATCACCGGCGAATCGGGGTAAACTAATTTTCGGCAGTTTCAAACCTAGGTATCCCATTGATGAATGCGACTGAAGACTTCCGTTAAAGCACTGGTTTGTAGTGATTTCTGCTGCAGAAATGCCTGCCCTTACTGGCGTCAAAATTGCAGGAACAGCTTTCGCTTCTTCATCATTTCCAACCCGTGTTGAAATTGAAGTGTATCTACCCTGCTTAAAATGTGCAATTTTCCTTATCTATTTGCTTGATGCTGCAAAGTTCCAAAATTTCGTCGCTTACTTGTCTCAGATAGTCTTGCTTTGCCTTAAGCAAGTCCGAAATTGACTGAATTCGTGAGAGAACATCAGGCTCTGTATATGAATTTGACCAAGTTTGAATGATTTGTGTAACTTTTCCTTGTAGTTTAGTTACAACCGAACGATTTCCTCTCCGAAAGGCTCGATTCCTTGTGAGCTGCCAATCGATTTGCAGCTCTCCCGTGGTATTTTCTTTGGTATTTTCAACCGAATCCGATGTTGCCGACGGTGTAGCCATGGTGGTACACCCTGTTACACTCCTTGCCCCACGTTGGGCGCCATGTTGAGAAGTTTGCATTGTGGATCAGAAGTGCAAAAGGAAAACGTCTGTTTTGCAGCTTTAGCGTATATATTTAAGCATAATTATTTTCTATTGGATTACATGTCGGTTACCGCTGAATCACAACTACACTCTGATTCTGTCAACAAAGCGTGGCTAATACATGACGAATACAATGTCACGTGACTACGCCCAGAATATGACGTACTCTCTTCAAGAGTTTGTTAGTTGATTGGAAAGATTTATCGTTTGTAGCTACGAAACTGCATCTTTTAAGTTCTTGATAACGTGTTCCTTTTTTTACCCCTTTTTAGAACTGCAACAAATTTATCCCCTGCCTGCCTGAATGATGCCGCAAAGTCTTGCAAGTAATGTTTTTATTATCATGACTAAGCTGTAAACTTCCTCAATGTATTTTCGGCACTACTTGCGAGAATCGTGTGTTTATTATTTTGCCCAATGTTTTGCGTGTAATTTTGTTGAAACCAGGCAATCTTGGCCCTGTCATGAATAGAATTATCCAGGTTCTGCACCTAAACGATTTAAATGTTCCCTATTTTTCGCTGTATTTCTAATCAATGACAAAAATGCATAAACTGAATTTATAGAATATATAATTTGTTTTACACAATTTGTAGCTTGTAACTAGCATTTGTTGTTAGGAAAAGTTTCTGTACTGTCGTGCATTTCCATTATGAATTTCTTGACCCAACCACAGAATAGAAATGGTCATTTCTATTCTGTGACCCAACTGACCCCTCTAAGTTGATCGACACGACAAACGTGGCGAGTTTCAGAATGCCAGTAATTAACTCGCCATCGGTAGGTGTGAGCACCACCCAGAAAGCATTGTGAGGGCGACGGCTTTTAAATAGAATTTGCCTGTCCCCAAGTTAAAATCACTTCTACTTTTGAGAGCATTATAGTATTTATAGATATCATTCTAGAAATCATTTCAAATGACTTTCTGCACTAAAAAATTACACTGAAAACCGGTGGCGAAAAGGGTTTGCTATACCCGCCGTGAACGTGTTTCTCTGTAATTTTTACCTCTTGCGTGCTTTTGTGCAAAAAATAAATTAGATTGGCTGCATTTCTTGCTTAACACGAACAATTTCAAATGATTTATGTTTCATTTGATGAAATTACACTAAAAACTGGTTGATTACTGCTAGACCCCCGCCGCGAACGGCGAATTTCTACCTCTTTTTATGGTTTTGTGCTGAAAAGAAGCTGGATTGTTACGGTAGATTGTGCCTGCATCATTTTTGTAAAGGTAAATGAATCCTTCTAGAAACCATTTCAAATGACTTCATGCTTATTTGGGTGAAATTACACTAAAAACCGGTTGCTAAAGGAGTCGCTAGAACCGCCATGAACGTCTTTTTTGTGCTTAAAAGAATATTGATTGGCTGTATCAAATGATTTTGCGCTTATTTCGACGGAATTACACGCTAAAAGGGGTGGCTAGACTCTCGGGCAAACGTTTCTTCTGATATTTTTAGAAATCATTATGACTATCGACTTTCTTAAAACGTGCTTTCATTAACCATGGAATAACATCTTCATTATTCTTTTTGTTCTTCATCTAGATCAAAAAGCGTTTCAAGCAATAATTATGACGCAGACGTGATTCTCGGACCTTCGAAACAATATTCATGGCATTTATGCTGGCGTTAAATCGAACAAAGAAACAAGAGGAGAAAATGACTTGATCTATGAAGATTAGCTGTTGTCAATAAATTGTATTTTGTTAATTTGTTGTTGGAGTAAGAATCCTTTCTGTTGCACAAAACATTGGCTGTTTTCTATCTTTCAATTTCTTAGTTCTTTGTTGCTGCAGTGTTTCAAAAGCTAACTGTGACGAAGATATGATACCTGAGTCTCAAATGAAAAGAACAGTGTGATAATTTTAATTCTTTGCAGTTTAGATCTCGAAAAGTCACCTTTTTAGGATTTGACATACTTTTACATGTCTGAACAAGCACCACAGACATGCTACGGCTAACAAAATTTTGTTGTTAGAAAGTTTTAACATTTGATTCAGAATAAACAGGGGAGATTTGAGGAAGCCCGCAATTATGTTTAAACCGGAACCACGAGTCAACGAGAACTGAAGGAAGTTCTATAGTTCACGTTGGATTCACATTAAGAATAAGAGTTCTAAGGAAAAGCCTAGAAAATATCTGAGCAAATCCCATTTGTCAACGAGGACCAAAACTGTATTGCTAGGAAAGTTTGAATTTTGATTCTAAATGAATAGAAGAGCTCCTGGGAACAATCACATGAAAATGTGTCAAAGAGCCCATGAGTCGTCGAGGAATAAATGAAATAATTATATGGAAAATTCAAGCACTGAAATTAGAATAAACAAGAGACTTAGTTGGTAAACCATTAAAATATTTAAACGAGGTACACGAATAGACCTGGGCTTGCAAATGTTTTGCAGCAACTTTCAATTAACGGAAGACTAGCTCCCCTACGAAGCCCGCTACGCGGGCTTGCCAGTGGCCCTGAGGTAGGGTACATAGATTAGCCTCGAAAAAGACAAGAATTCTCTTAAAACCCCCAATGAATGAAGGTAAAATTAGCCTTGGTAAAGACAAAAATTCTATCGAAGCCCCCAATGAATTCTAGGAAAGTTAGCCTTGGTAAAAACAAGACAAAAATATCTAGCCTCTATCTCAAATTGAATGGTCACGCCCCATATGGGTCAGGTGAAAAAAAGCAGCCTGTTCTGCTAAAAAATTTTGGTCAAAAAATTCACTCGCACTCCTGTAACTATCGCTGGGAAGGGGGGATCCTTGGATCAGTGTTGTTCCATCTATAGAGTCATATGCATTGCTTACATCGTGCATCACAAACGGTTTCATTTATGATGTTACTGTCCGTTCTATGATTAATTTTTTAGCAAAGACGTCTTCGGAGGTATTTCCGTGTAGATTTTCGTGACAAACAGTAATAATTTTGCATTACCAAGGAGAGAGAAATTTAATTCATTTAAATTGTCATTTCTACGAATTCAATTCAATTGACAAACTGAGCATAAAAAATTCAGGTTCTAAACGCCAAGCAGATAAATTAAGAAAAATATATTTGAAATGGGCTATATCATTAGATAATAGACGAGAAAAGTCATTTCTTATTTTCTATGAAGTGAAATTGCACCTTTTCGGGTTATGGGGTCTTAAAGTTCAAAAATTAAAAAAAATAATTTTGCAACACCATTTAAGACCACGTTCCAAGGGGATTAGTATAGTGGGAATCTGCACGTGTTATAAAGGTGCTAAAAAGATTGTGCAATGTGAATTTAGCCTTTCTTAATGTAACTTACTTTTGGGGTAATCTTAAGATCATTCTATTGTCTAGCAGTATGTGAAGTACCCATAAACTTAGAAAAATACATTTTGATAACAAAGATATACATAATGCTAATTCTAAAGAGCCACTTTTGATGAACTATATATCATAGGTGAACCAACAAAACTGAAACTTCTTCAAACGCTATGTTACTGATGATAATTGCTTAGAAGCCAAATAGAACATCTTGTCAGATATGAACATACCACAGATGTTTCTCTCCTTAAAATCGTTTGACTGCTTTTAATTTAAAAAATGCTCGTATAACAATTCAATTTTGCCGTTGACACTATATTTTCTAGGGACCTTTGCAGCCATGAAAGTGCTAATAAAGGGGACATAGACTGTCTTACGTTTAGTAGGAAGTGCTTTGTTGTATACACCTTGCAAGTTCTTTATACACGAGATTAATGAATTTATTACAGACACGAGCGTAAAATATGAATCACAGCAGATCAAAGTAGCTAATTTTTACTTTTCTTCAACCCTAGTTTACATTCGACATATTCTTCAAAAGGCACTAATCTGTTGAAGAAATAGCTAGTAATGACGATGCAAGCTGCCTCAACAGCGGCTACTGTGATGAAGACGTATCTTGGTCCGTAGGTTTCATAGATGCATGTCATCACCAATGGTGTTGTGATTCCCGAAACACATGTAGAAACAGACAAAACTGTATTGTAGAAGCTCTTTGAAAAAATTAACGTTTGAAAACCATTAATCATTGCTTAAGATGCAGAATGGTGTTTAAACATATATTTTATGCTAGATAATGTTTATTGCAGCTTATAACAACATAGTTGTCAAGAAAGAGGAAAACGATGAGCTTAAGCTTTTTATCAGTCTTTTAAAAAAATCCAATTTTTGAATAACTGGTATTGCCTAGAAAACCAAAAAGGAAATGCTCTTATGCAATTGTTTAATATAAGATAGCAGGGGGACAATTAATGCTGAAATGGATTTGATATGAACTGAAAAGTAAGATCCTCCATCATTTTTTGGTCCATTGAAATTTCTATTTCTTCAAGCGCACTTTAAACTAAAGAGGCATTCAAAAGATATGTTAAATCTTACCTGCTTTCTCGGACCAATAATTTTTGAATACAATCCATTTGTAACCAGATATGGCAACGTGAAGCCAAAAATTATCATCAATTCTGCAACTATGAATTGCGCAAGGTGTATTTTAGGTGCATTTTGGCACCACTGGAACTTTGGTGGACACCCTGGTTTCCATATTGTTTTTGTCACATTCCCAAGCGTTGTTTGTTCTAAAAAAGATAGCATTTCTTCACGACTGTCATATATAGATATCAAGTATAAAAATATGAATAACCATCACTTCATTTGTATAATCTGCATAATCTTATACAAAATATCGACCATTAGATTAGAAGATCGTGAGATAGCTCACCTGTTGTTTGTAGAGTTGGATGTGTGTTTCCCCAGGGTAAAAATATGATAAACCCTAGCAATGAAATTGTGCACCCTAGCAGAATTATACTTCTCTCGGCAAGCCTAGGTAGAAATGGAGATGTCAGTTTGAATAAAAAATTAGTAGACAAAATGATAGGAAATCCAAAGAATTCGTAAGGAATAAACAACTCATTGTTTTGACTGATTTTTAAGATAATTGCTATGGATTTAATGAATATGATACGCCTATTTGGTGTATATTCTAAGCATAAATAATGTAGTATACATCCGTGTGTTTAGTATTTTTGACAAAAATTTGGGAAACTTTTTTTTATCCGTCGCATTCATAGAAAATGTTGTATGGATATTGTAAAATAGCAGTGATATTTTATCAATATTGCACTTAATAAGCAGTCAAATTTAGTAAACTGACGTTATTTTAAAGTATTCCATCAGAAGATCGATTGAATTTTTGGCTGCAGCAAACATCTAGATGAATTTAAATAAAGAATCCTATAAGCGATTTTCTAGTTAAACAAGGAACACACTTTGTCTAATAGGTCGTAAATGCTCTGGTTATAGAGCTTTTGTTTTGACCCCCTATAGTAAATTTGGCCCCAACGATTTAATTTGTGGTTTTGGGTTGAATTGCAACGAAAGTCTTTGAATTTACTCAAGTTTTTGAGCAATTTTTAAATAAACAATACAAGTGCCAGGTCAGCATAAAAAGCTTCGAAATTGACAGAATAGGAATAACCAACCTGTTTGAAGTACATCTTATTAAAGGTAACGAAATAAGTGCAATTGGTCCAACGGAAGACAGCAAGAGGCCAGCATCGAAAACAGCTTCTGATTTTGTAAGCGCCAGCTCACTATTCATCATTGAAGCAGTGAACCTAAGGAGATTGCATTAGCTAGAAGTTTTAAAAGCTTTCTTCAAGTTACAGATGCTGGAGACAGAAACAGCCAATTGTAGATATGCAATGAATATGCCTGAACATATGCAATGGATATACCTAATTAAGCCATGTATATTATATTAAAATTCATCAAACAAAATTTCATATTCCAAGTTTTATATTTAAAAAGGTTTAATCAGTATCTAAATTTATGAATTGAAAAAACAAACAGTTTAAATTATTAAAACTCTTTTTCTGACACTCTTCAGTGTATAGAAGGTCAGAATGTTGATCGAACTTGTAAAGCTAGGAAAAATATACTCTATCAATAGGCCAATTGAATACAGTTCTGGTAACTTACGTTTCTAATGATGAAAATACCACACAGTTGACAAAGTAAGTCATTAAGATTATAATGAGAGCAAAGTTGTCCGGTTTTTGCAAATCCTCTACAAAAATAAAGTAAGCAACACAGTAGTAACGATTATGCAATATCATTTCCTCATCATAATTATGTTGTAAAACAAGAAGAATTAATTTAAAAATGGCTTTGAAAAAAGAAAACATTTGAGTAAACTAACGTTTTTCGTCTGAAACTCTTCAGAGTTAAAGTGTCAGAACATAGATCGAAAACTCTAAAGAGTGTCAAACGAGAGGCTTTGATTTACTCAAATATTTGCTTTTTTCAAAGCCATTTTCAAGTTTTATACCACCAAAAGATTGTTCGAAGAATGTAATTCATGAAAATGTTTACAGATATGTTCTAGTCACGCAGATAAAGCAAAGCATAAATAGCAGGTTTATTATGTCACTTACTTGAACTTTCTTTATTGTCAGATCCAATTTTTTTAGGTTCTCTAAACCAAATCAACAATGAAATAGCACAAATAACTTGTATGAATATTCCAACCCAGCCGGGAGCGTTCAAAAAGTCAATGTTTACAAACGAGGTATGGATTCCATTGCCAACAACCACTGCAAGCAAGGCTTGTAAACCTAAAAGTAGAGATAAGAATTAGATTCCAGTTCCAAGGGATAAAGTTGCCTTTAAACTGCAAAACTATTGCCTACAAAGTTACTGGGTATTTATGTTGCTGTGAAAAATAAGCATGCGTTAGAACAAAGCTTTTAAATGCTTTGTTAAAGCAAATAAAGAAAGAGAAGCATGATTATTTGAAAGAGAAGTGGATTCTAGTAGCAGAAATAAGAAGCATAAGATGGGCCATAAATGGAAACAGCATTTGACACAACACAAGCACATGCTAAAGGACTGTGAATGCGGCAGCAGAACGTAATTAATTTCAAATAAGGTAGAAAGGAATGGAAAGATTGAGCTAAGGGATTTCAATTTTGCGGGAAGACAATCAGGCCAATTATTTTTACATTATTTGTCCTAAATACCCTTATTTCAGGTAGGTGAAACATATTCAAAATTTTGGATTTCCAAATAGGATTTAGGCAGATTGAATTGCTCCTCTTTAGTTTAAACTGTTTCTGTCTATTGCTTATTATCAATTCTTGTCGCAAGATTCACAGAATCCGGTAAAGCGACTCGACCAGCATGTGAAAGTCTTTCAAAGTTGTATGATTTTCCGTAGTAAAATTGTAATATAGTTTGATTAAGTATCAATTCCCTCTGTCCTACCACCAAAATATAATGTTTTAGTTTCCGCATCAAACCAAAACATTATATTTAAGTTAGCTTCTAGATTACGAAATCAGTAAAATCACCTGGGCCAACGGAGAATCCAATGGCATAAATTGTGAAAAGTGTGGCAAAAGCTGTCCGTCTTTCTTTCGTTGTTGTTGATTGTGCCACAACAGTACGGCACACAGCCAAATCTCCTAATCACAAATAATACGTCAATTTTATAAAACACTCTCTATTCTACAGATGAACTAGTTAAAATCTTCTTTGTGACATTAATGTAATTATAAAAAACTTATTTTTCCAAAAAATACATTCTATTCAAGATTTTTTATAGCGGAGAAGAATTCTTGAACGCAAGCCTGATGTCAGACAAGCTGATTACAAACTTCTTAGTGACTTACCGTAAATTTAAAAGAGTTTTCCAAAAAGACTTTTCTAATTAAGGTGTTTTAATGGAAGAGAAAAATTTTTGAACTCAAGCTTGATGTCAGAAGATGCATTGAATTGTTGAAATGGAATGCAAGCAAATCAGTCGTTCTTTACATAGTATAAAAGTCTTAACTTGCACTGTATCATTCTATTAGAGCACTTTTTATCAACTGTAGGAATTTTTCATACGGTACGCAACCTCTATCAAGGATAATAGCAAAAGAACTGCATTTTCATTCCAAATGAACTATCACACACAACAGGAAATTTCGATTATACAATATTATAAGCAAAGGAAAGATCTACATACCTCTTGCTATTCCACAAATAACTCTTGCAATCAGAATCATCACAAGTCCACTGTTTTTTGGAAACCCTTCGGCAAAAGCATACAAACAGTCCCCAAAGAACCTAAATAGGAGGCTTGCCAGTAGAGGTATTTTGGCACCACGGGCATTGGACCAAACACTAAAGATAACTAAACCAGTCACCTGGCCAGCACGAAAGCCAGCGTTTATTAAGCCGAGAAATCTTGTGCTCACTGTTTGATCCACCTAAAACATTATGAAAGGAAATCAACAGAGCACGAAAAATGTGAAAAAACATACTGTGTATCCCCGAATTTGCCCAACTATAATAAGCCTCCCCCCCTCCAAAAATGCCCACCCTTAGAGTGAGAAAATTCTAATAAGCCCTACCTTCGAATCAGCCCCCTAAAGCCCTAAAATGCCAATCAAATTTGTACATCACTTCTCACTTCCCTTGAATATTCTCTGCTGATTCACCAGACAAATAAAACTGTTTGTCATCTATCTCTTATAGAAACATTCACTTGGTATGTAAATTTATTCACAATGTATAGTTCGACACAGGCTTTTTTCTTTGATGACTTTTTGGGCTTATCAATGCATTATTTTTCAAAGTTTAAACGATCTTGGAGCACTAGCAATTTTAGATAAGAATGCACACGTTTCTATTTAAAAAAATTTTTCTCATAAGAATATTGAGATTCAAAATTGAATATATTCAAAAGCTAGTAAAGAATAATTGCCAGGATCGAATTTCAACAAAAGTTTGATTTTTTGTCTGTTTTTTGAGCAAACAGGATAAATGTGACAGTGTTACCTATACGGTAACGAGAACTTTATGACAACTGGTAAACAGTAAATTTCAAACTTGTGTATATCTGCCTATTTGCCACAAAGGAAAGGATAATCCACAGGAAAGGCCAGTTACATGTGGATTACCATCAGAATCCTGTCTAGACCCATGCCTCTTCACACTGTACCTAGATGTCTTTCAAACACGCCTAAAATTTTCAAATGCTGACCTGAATGAAGATGACACAGAAGTTTCACTCTCGTCAAATGAGCTTGGAAACGTAATACAAAACGTCAAGGCTGAATTAAAAAACATTTCCGAGGGGATGAGGATAAAAAGCTAACCATGCATCTCGAGAAAACCGAGTTCATGGTTATTGACCGTCCTCGTAGCGAGATGAAGTGCCAGAGTGACAACCATTTAATTTTGATAGTACAAGTATAAAACAGGTTCATAAAAAGAAATACCTAGCACTTACGGTTGACGATAAGTTGTATTTGGATGAACAGTGCAAATAAGTCAAAGGGAAAGTAGCTGGTGGCTAAGCATCGATTAAAAGACTAGAAAACGTCTTACTGCAATCAGTTGCTCAATGTATATCAAGCATTTATTGAAAGTCACCTAAGGTATGCTAACGTGGTAAAGGGAGCCCTCACTGATACCAAACTAAGTACTCTGCAAACATATCAGAACAGATCATTCGATCTGATCGAACATTCGAAGACTAGGGATGCAAGTCAATTGATGACTTTTGACCGAGCAGTTATGACTTTACAAATTGTCAATCAGCTCTCTCCTGAAGGGCTAAAAATAAGGTAATCACAAGATTTGCCTTATAAAGATATATAACGCAAGGAATACGAAGTATCTCTATGTGCAAAAACTAACATTAGAATACGCCAAAAGAAGTAATTTGTACACAGGTCCATTAACTTTGAATGATATTCCACAATCCATTGGGGATATTGATTTCATCATACGATTTCAGCAAGAGCTAAGATAGCCATCTTTGAGCTAGCAGAAGTAAGCTTGGCACGAATCTATTGAAGATCAGGCAATTAATGTTTTCCACCTAAGTACCTTCAAACATTTTTTATTGTAATGTAGCTTTTTTGTATATTATAACTTTTCTTTTTACTGAATTGATATTGTGTGTAAATTAGATTAAATTAAAAAATGAAATGAATTGAATTATATATTAGTAGGGATACTGAAGGGAAAATAAAGTGTTTCAAGTCATCGTGTAAAAGGTGCCTTTTGCAGCGAAGAAATTTTAACAAAATAGCAATATCAGAAAAAGAGGAAACCTCACCTTTTGTATGTATGGCCAAAGTGACGGCATGGTGCTTGTGAAGTCTAAAAAGAGTGAAACTCAACAAAATACCTCTATATAATGTGAATATAAACCCAAATTACCAAAGCAAAAATGTACAATTTATTTGCATTTTCTTACGCTGTAGAGATTTCCATCCAAGTCATTCTTACTAGAATTTACTTTCACAGTATTGGTTTTGAAAAGCAATGACTTTGTTTTCTTACCCATAGCACCGGAAAAGGATACCAAGTAAATGACATATATTGCCTTCCATTTTGCTTTGTAGGATTCCGACGACTCCAAATCATCTATGTCGTATGTTCCAGTATTTTGGTATCCTTTAGACGAACTGGTCAAGGTGATTGAAAAAATAGCTCAATGAAGATCATTTAGTTCTGTTTGGATACCGCATTAAGAGTTTATGTTTGCAAAATCGTGCTTTTGAAATTTAATAGCAAAGAGTGCAATTGAATTAAAGGTATGCACAGTTTTACACATTGTAATGATGAAACGTCATTAAATCAAGTTTGTTTCAGCGTCTTTTGATTTGCCTGTTATGGGGCTGGATACAATTAGTAATAATAGCCATTGTAACCTATTATTTCAATTTGAGTTTTATACATCAAATTAAGGATTAAAACATTGCGAAGAAGCTTATATGCATCTTTTGATTAAACATTATCATAAACATATATTTTCAAAACATGATTTTAATTTAGAAAAAGTTAATCACTTTTTGGCTTTACCTCTCGGTTCCTTCACTAAATTTATCTCCTTAGCATCAGAAGAATTTTGCGCCATTGTAGCTACTTGATCGTTGCAGCTACAAAGTTCTGTAAAAATAAAAAATGCACCTTTCTATTTATTGAAGAGAAAAGCATTAAAGAAAGAAATCAGCTTTCCATACAATCAATTAAAAAAGGTTTAGACTTTCATCGTCTTCATTTTAATTGAATGTTAGATATTTGATCTTTACATTGGATTTTAAGATCTTACAGAAATTACTTCATGTATGTAGATGATAGCTGATCCACTGTTAAAGCAACCAGATATGACTGGTAGCTTCTTAGTGGGAAAAGTTCTTATGGCTTGATTTCAGGCCCTTTTTCTAGCATATCATTAATGTTTTAGTATCTTTTCAAGATTCCCAAAAATTCAGGCAAATGGTAACTTATTGCAGGTTTATCATCGCAGAAAGAAACGTGATATGTAAAAACAGTTAAATTTGTGCTTTTTATGTTGAATGGTCTGGATGCCATCTGAAACATTTTCAAGTAGGTCTACATGCTAGATCCTCGCAGCAAGTTTGACATTGAGAGACTCGATTTTTTGTTATCTATTCATTATGTTGTGCTTCTGCACAGAAATTATTTTGTAGAACTTTTTTGTTAATTCTTGCATATATACCAAAATGGTTCTGCAGCTTCCGCTCCTCCCTTGAAAGGGCTGTTCTCCGACCAACGGACTGTCATTCTTCCGTTAAGTCTATTTATGTTTCAATGTTTTTCTGGCCACTTATTGGGATGGTACTATACTTGTATTCCAGTGGTTTTGATTGCGGAAGGAGGAAACATTCTTGCACATTGATTTTCGCCTCAGGAAATCCAAAGCCTTTCGGCAGCCTTATTTACAATTTTTAATTACAAAATTTCATGGAACGGTTCTTTTCCAGTTCACTATGTTATTGCTTAGGGTGTTTATTGTTTTGAATTCTTGTTTTTTTCTAATTTATTCATTAATGCATTATTAATTCCTTGACCAGTTTTTTTCTTCCCTTCTCTCAAAAACTGACCAATCTGTAATGCTTTGCATACATTTGCAAGCTTTCTTTCCTTTAAACACTTTGTGGATGTTCGTTTGAGTAAAGATGTGGTCAGAAATAAAGGAACCTTTCATGTTAAGAAGGTGCTCATTTGTGGCGAACAAAGAACAAAGACCATGTCTTAGTTGCAGTTTTATGTAAATTCTCAAAGTAGATTAGCTCTTTCTTGTTGGACCTCAATAGAATCATCATTAACAGGGTGGCAGAAGGGAGTAAATATTTTGTCCACACAAATATATCATGGTGGATGGAGTAGTAAACTTATAGCATGATGAAACAATTTGCAATTTGCGCATAGCTGCTAATGAGATATTTTTGCTATATCTTAACTGGCTGAGTTGTATCTAGAAATGTAGCTAATTTCCGGTTATCTGATTCTCCAGTTCATTTCTAATTTCACTATATTTTCAAACATTTTCTACTGGATACATTATGTTGTAAAAAATTCCTAGTTCAAAATTTTATGCTATCAAAATCATAAACATGAAAAACGAAGTTTTCAATGTTTTCGTATAAATCTTGATAGTAGTACTTAAAACTTCAAAAAGTACAAAATAATGAAAATTAGATTAGTACATGGAATAGTCATTATAGGCCAATGAAAAATTGCTGAATCGTGTTTGTAATTAATAAAACGACAAAAGATATCCTCATCATCAAATCCTGACCTGCAATTCTTTCACCTCTTGCAAAATATACTTGTTCGTTTTTTTCTCTTTTCAAGTAATTCCCAGCAATCTTCTATAAGTTTTCATTTCAAAAGCTTCTGCTCATCACTACTCAGTGTCTAGCTTTCACAGACAAATAGTAGCGTTGCTACCACAACAGATCGCATCAACAGTAATTTGTTAGCCAGTCTGATATTCCTCGTTCTCAAGATGTGATCCAGTTTGACAAGTGTACTGGCTGCTTTGCATATTCTTATTCTGATCTCCATTTTAGACTTGCCATTGTCCTCAATTCAAGACCCCAAGCACTGATTGGTCAACTGTACCGGTCTTGTGCTTGCGTTTTTCTGATTGGCCTATTTCGATCCACAACTGGGTATATATTTAACGCCATTTTCAACTTCTGCACCGCAAAAAATTGCTCAAAGCACATTCCTGTGGCACTACCTTTTCTGTTCACTCTTTGTTTTACTTTCAGTGTCATCATCACCAGATCATGGTCACTTCCATTATCCGGTTTGTTAAAAATTCTTGTTCTTGCTCTGTTGACTCCAGAAATGTTTCTTTAGCTGACAAAAATGCAGTCAATCTGATTGCGTGTCTTTCCATGTTCTTCTTCTAGACAACTTGAGATTAAACAATGTTGTCACTGCAGTCAGCTTGTGTCGTTTTTCAAATTCTAGCAGCTTGAATCCTCTCTCATTTGTGACGCCGACCCCATACTTTCCCACCGTGCCTTTCCATTCGTCTTATGCATCTTTTCCCAGCTTTGCATTGCAGTCACCCTGTACTATCAGAATGTCTTTCCTCGGTGTTGGCTGAATAGGTTTTTCAAACCCTTGCGTAAAATTCTTCAATCATTTCATCGCTGCATTCGGTTGTCGGAGCGTAGTCTTGTACTATTGTCATGTTGGACGGTTTTCCAGCTATTCTGATTGCAATAATTCTGTCATTAATTGGTTTGTATTTCAAAATCGAGTTCTTGTTGTCCTTATTCACAAGGAAGCCTTCTCCATATACACTCTTCTTATCATCTCCGTAGAACAGGATTTTGTGTTCATTTTTCGTTGTTCCTTCTCCAATGCCCTTCCACTGCGTTTCCGAAATTACCAAGATGTTCCAGGCTAGCTGATTCATTTCTTCTACTCTACGAAAACCTCCATTTTGCCACTCTCTCGTTAAGTTCTCACATTCCAAGTTGTTCCAGTCAAAGTGTCTGTATGAACCATTCTCCTTGGTTTTTCCACTGTTGTTGTTCTCCGCGAGAAAGGTGGAAGAACCAAGGAGAATGGCTGATACAGAGAGAAAAAGCAAAGAGAACAAGTTAGGAGGATACATGCGGAGAAACCGCAAGGTATTCAGGTATATTTCTAGCTAATTTTCCAGTCCTGAATACAAGAGCAGAATACTATACTTTATCAATATCAATGTGCCACCTGTTGAATTTCAGAGAAGTTAATAAAGCGTTCACTTAGATTTCACTAAAAACTAGATCATCCTGAGCTCAACTGAGCCCCCTTTTATACACAGGTTGTTTACGAATAACTATATTCCCACATGTGCGTGCAAATCAAGTACCAGCTTTATAATAATGCATATTGCATCAACACAACACCACCAAGGGTAAATTTTGAAAAACTGATCACTGAAGAATCAGGCCCACGATTTTCCGACAAGATAACACCTTGGATGGGCTTTCGGTACGTTCCATACCTATGAATTACTCAACAAGAGCTGGTATTTTTTATCAGAACGCTGATTCCGAGTGAGGGGGGGAGGGGTCTGAGCTCCCATGATTTCCCGCCACTGATAAGCTGGGAGAATTGGCTGAGAGCATAAATTGAGTGAATAATTTGAGCGAATAAGCTAAAAGAATAAATTGAGAGATCATCTGAGCCAATTTGATGAACGAGGAATTTAAGAGCATTAGTAAGGAGAACAAGCTGAAAGAATAAATTGTGAAAATAAGTCAAAGGAACACGATGAAAAATTCAGCTGAGAGGACAAGTTGAGAGATTCAGCTGCGAGAATAGACCGAGAGTTTAACCATGGAAATTTGAAAAATCTAGACATAAATTAATCTATAATGATCACTGTGGTGACAGCTTGAAAGTCTTTTTCATTGGTCACATTGATATAGACTTATCAGCACTGTCATCAGATATGATGAATTAGATATTACTAAAAAAGACGGTGCAAGGGTGATAACATGAAAATTCCCAGTTATAAAAACAATCGCAAAAAAGATGAAAAGATTTAGCAGAAATAATCTTTTCGTGGTACTAAAATTAAAAATTGGCTTTGAAAAACGCAAACCATTCGGAACATACTGAAGCTTTTCTTCTGACACTTTTTTGAGTACAAAACGTCAGAACATAGATCAGAACTCTATGCTAGGAAATACATTTACCCAGTTGTGGATCGAAATGGGCCAATCAGAAACGCGAGCACTTGACTGTTGAGGTTGCCCAATCAGTGCCGCTTGCCTATTGAGAATGTTGCCAATGGAGTCCTAAGGTGAAACTAACTCCTTTTGTCTACACAATAGCGGTTTTTTCGTGCTTATGTAGACAGATTCCAAAACTGCTATACGAAACGATGATTAGTTTTTTGCACAATCAGGGTTTTCCAGTGAATACTGCCCGAAATCAGAATGGCATGTTTTGGTTGTAGTTTTAGATCTGCAAGACCGCGGTGGTAGTTCTCATTGGGGGGAAGTTTTGTTTCTATTGCTAAAAGGGACATGTTATTTTATTCTATCCCCAATCTTTGTGTAGTGCTTCCTACGTAGCCAGAATCACACTGGCACGTAAACTCATAGAAAAAAGTGGGTGGTAGGAACGCAATCCTTTTGAATGGATTTTTTTCTATAACCAATTCGCAGAATAATAACAAAAAACAATTCGTAATTGCCTGTTTAATCTTATTTTCAATTCGCAATTTTCATCTGTACTCAATAAGCAAATGCAATTTATTCGCTACAGCACATGTTTGATTGAATGGCAATTAGCTTAAATTATTTTGATTGCAATCCTATGAATGGAAACTCAAACGCTATAAGGGAAATGGAAAAAAAATTACCTTTGAAGTGCTACTGCCATCAAGCAATATTTGCAAGCCTTGTTGTGCAATTAAGGAAAGAAATACCATAGAAAGAAAATCTAAACAGGCTGACTTGATAGCTGCGTAATATAATCTACGAATTACCTCAGATACCAAAGTTACTTTACAAAAGTGAATGTTTCTCCAAGTAGGAGCACGAAACGTAATTAAAACATTATTTTAAAGATGGCATATGCTGAACATGTTTCTCTAACTCACAACTCTTTTATACCTTAATTCA